TTTTTTACATAATACCCCTGCCGTTTGTCATCGACCAGTGATATGTCGGAAACCAGTGATCGCACAGAGAATTTAAGGGTATTTCCAGAAACTGGAATAAACCTCCTATAAGATTTAATTGCAATCTTTGAGGTAATTTTTTTTTTGTTTCCTCCGTATTGAAGAAATTTACTTTTTATCTTGTTTTGGAAAATCGACCGCATTTTTGGAAGTGCTAATGAGAAGGCTAATGTTGTTAGTTTTTTTATACATCAATATACCCTTATTAACGCTGTGCGGCGCCAGATCGATACATTGTACTGTCTCCGGACCGACAAATTCCTAAATCCGCCAAGAAACATTGTCTGGATCCGCCCCTGGTCAGTATTTTTGTTTTTTGGAATATTCCATGAATAAAATCACTAAAAAATTTTGTTTTTCTGGCTTCCTCAATTTTTTAGAGTTGTGTAGATCTTGATGCGTTCTTATATGCTGCATAATATACAGGGTGTTTCAGAACTATGGGATCAAACTTCTAGGGGTTATTCAGTGTAACAGTAGAAAACATTTGAGTATAGGGACTCATATCCGGAAGTGTCACTACGGCCCAAGACTTTTGTACGTGATATCATCACAATAATTGTTCAAAATGTCTTTCTCCAACCTGAATACACCGATTTTAACCTCGCACATGATTTCGGCGGACTTGACTGAAAATTTGATACTCGTTTTGAATGATTTGAAATGCTGCTGTAATTCGTCCAATTAAGTCTTGCTGTTTACTAGAGTTTCGTAAACCAAAGACTTTACATGTCCCCACAGGAGCGGTGTATTCAGGTTAGAGGACGACATTTTGAACAATTGTTGTGAAGATATCATGTACAGAAGGCAAAAATTAAATGCATTAAATTCTATTTAGGCAATTCATCGTATTTATAAATTTTAACGCGTCTTAGGGCCGTACTGACACTTTTCCGGATATGTATCACTATACTCAAATGTTTTCTACTGTTACACTGAATAACCCCTATAAGTTTGACCCCATAGTTCTGAAACACCCTGTATATTATACTCACACGTAACATATGAGGCACATAGAATAAGAATGGTCTAAATCAACTCTTGAAAATTCGCGCCATTCACTTCACATAAAAGGTATCAGTCTACCTAGATCTATCAGTATAAAGCTAGTCTAACTCCTTGTTTCAGTCTCCGGTCAATAGATGGCGCCATCATACTCATATTCTGATTTGAATTCAATAAAGTTCACTGTAAAAATGGTATAATCATGCATTCAGGATAATACTGGAACATCTGAGGAGTTAGACCTTTATTATTCTGTGGCTCATATACAGGGTGACTTTGAAGTTGAGTCATTAATTTTCAGATAATGATTGTAAAAGGAAGATAAACCAAAATATGTGTAAAAATAAAAAAAAATTAAAAAAATGTTACCTTGTTTTATAAAGTATCCTCCCGACAAGTATTTCAGTGCGGACCTGTATTTGATCGTGCGGTCTTGGAGCACCGGCATGCCCTCCCCTGTGAGGTCTTAAGCCACCTGATTCACGATCCCTTTGTACTCCATTAACAAAGGCACGAGGGGTTGGTTGCACTAGATTGGGAAACCGATCCGCATAAATCCGTGATGCCGCGGCAGCATTTTGTAAAGACTCCCCCCCGTAAATAAGAATCATGTTCACAAGTTCAGCATTTTCGTAAACATGTGTAATTTTTTATTTCGTTTGAGCCACGCAACAAACACCACTATTCACTCACGCGTTACCGATTGACACATTGACTGAATACCGCCATAGAGCATGATAAAAGGATTCACACAATTTCATTGCTGTCTAGATAAAAAGTATTGAAGAGTAATATATGAGTAATGTACAAGGGTTTTAATCAAGAGGAAGGACGTGAATGAAGCCATGTTTAAATAAAAATAAGTTTATTTGTAATTAATGTTAAAAAAAAAATACGGAAATAAATAAAATGTCCTAATATACTGTACGGACAATTGGAATTTGTGAAAAAGGTTTTTGTTAAAGAAGAAAAACCACTGTTTTGTAATAAAAAATGGAACAAAGATCTTTATTACCATATTTTGTTGCCCACAAGGTATAATTGGATATCCTGAAAAATCAGAGAAACATAATCAGGGTAATCGAGCTAAATAGCAGTCTTCAAAAAAAAAGTGTATTAGTTGACATCTTTTCAATGTTGTTGCAGAGTTGTTAACATATACCGGATATTTTTGACAACTATCTAAAAATTACAAAAAATCTATTTCTGAAACTCATGTGAATAACTCTACTATGAATATCGTCAAGAAACATCCAATATACTCGTATGATGTAGGTATTACTAGATAACTATACTTCACGAAGAGTGATGTATAATTTTGGTTTCTGTTCTCTCAAACCATTTATGAATTTGTAAACATGTTTTCATGTTTATGCTTCTGCTAAAGCACCTTACAAAAGTTCATTTGTTCAACATCTGAACCCATGACTTTGTTACTGGGTGTAATTCGAACAGGCATATAACGAAGCATATGTTTAAATTTTAATTTCGCGCATATCACCGTACTACTGGGGCTTAGTTTGTTCTTTCAAACATATCATGTACGCCGTAATTTTGTGCCAAGGTTTACTTCAGTGAATAATTACCATACGAAAGGGTGATCCATCTGTTGGTTAATTTTTAAATCGATGGTTAAAATGAAAACGCAAGTTCTTTTTCCAAACGGGTTTTTTTTTATTTAAGAGTACTATCCTTCCGGTTAATAATGAAACACAATGTCGTTCATATGCGTGCCACAGCAGAGCTTGACGTAGCCGATTCTCTCCACCCAATTTTTCAGTACATTGCATGGATATTGGTCTTCAAGTGCTCAATCGTCGCTGCGGCATCCACATAGCATTTATCTTTTTGCTTCCCCACAAAAAATAATCCAATCCAAGTCACATGACCAAAACGGCCGATTAACGATTTTCGAACAGTTCTTAAAGGAGAGCGATTGTTTCGCGACTTGTGTAGCAGGTCGCGCCGTCTTATTGGAACCACACGCCATCCAAGTCGGTTTCACGAAAGAAATAGTCAGCATGCTCCGATAGCGCACACCAATAACCGAAAAAAAGGGCCAATAATGCCACAAGACCACACCAAACAGTCACGTATTGCAGATGCATTGACTTCTAGGTAATTTCATTTGGCTATTCTGAGTATCAAATATGGCAATTTTGTTTATTGACGTAGCCACCAAGATGAAATTATTTTTAGGTAAAAATGGGGTCCTCGTCCAATTTTTAGCGCTTCGTTCACCGCACTCTTTACTAAATTCCTGTTCAAGAACTGATGTAAGTGTTGCCAACCGTGAGATAAGCCCTACTTCAAAAATTAACGAACAGATGGATCACCCTTTATTTAGCTCAAGTTCACGAAATTCCGCCCCAGTCGTCACAAAATCATGCTACGCCACTGGAAATTAGTCCACAAGATCGTTTCTACGCCCTACCCGTGGCACCATTCATCTGGCAACGTCGTGTCGCCTCCCCAATATCTGAAAGCATTGGGGTAGAGCGCTAGTCGTGCAGGACTGCAGGATACCATACTAACATTGGCACGCTGGTCGCGGACTTTCAAGTCAACAGACGCAGTGAAGTTTGTCGAGAACATTTTTCTATCGTTCCGAGGGCAAATACAGTACCGAGTACAAGTAGAGAAACAAACCACATTACATATAAAAATCCAGAAAGATTTACTCTAACCCAAAACTGTACACTAAATTTTTTTATGTATGACTACCTCAAGATAATGAAATGCTTATCTTTGTATACATCCTTTTTTTTCAAACTAAAATATGGTCGGTTTTCTGTTCAACGAGCAAAAGTAGAGAAACAATTTGTAAATATTCAGTTTATATTTAGTCGTTGATTAGAATAGGTGTTATTTTTGAGTGTATTTGGTAAAGTGTAGATCAAAAACAAGGCCAGAGGAATTACATTGAATTTGCAAATAAAAGAATGATTATTTTAAAATATCAATCAGGCATTAAACAAGCAACCATAACCAAACAGCTGAATTGAAGTTGATCGGTAATTTGCAAAACTATTAAGCTGTTCCGCCTCAGAAAATCGTTGGTAAGCTCTCCCAAGACTGGTAGACCGCGAAAAACCACACCTAGGATTGATAGGAAAATTAAAACACTTGCTCTTAAAAATCCATTTACTAGTGCTGCCGACATAAAAGCTCAACTTGAAGAAGTAAATATTGATGTCCACACTGTTCGAAGACGTTTAAGGTAGAGTGATTTACCAGCAAGGAGACCATCTAAAAAACCCTTTATTTCCAAGAAAAATCGGACCGCCCGTCATCAATTTACTTCATCATTTTATCATTTGAACTGGTCAGAAACAAGGTGGAATTCTGTATTATTTTCTGATGAAAGTAAATTTAATTTATTTTGATCGGATGGCATTTTATGGGTAAGACGTCCTAAAAACAAGCGATTTGATCCTAAGTTCACTTTGGGCACAATCAATCAAATCACGGTACCCAATGGGTGCTTAGGCCTTAGGCCTTCGTGGTAGTTGGAGTATAAAAAAAAAAAAAAAAAAAAAAACACGGATACGGGAAGGTTTAAGTCTGGGGTTGCTTCTGTGGTCTTCAAATTGGACCCATCGTCAAAATTGAAGGAATTATGGACCGGTACAAATACTTGAAAATATTAACTGATACCATGCTACCTTATGCAGAAGAAAACATGCCTCTACGCTGGCGGTTCCAGCACGACAACGACCCCAAGCACACAGCGAAAATAAAAACATTTTTTGTCCCTCATAAAAAAGTGCTTATATTGAGACTAGTATTGTGTTCATTGCAGATAATGTAAAAACAAGGAATTTAGTTTTTCTACTAATAACGCATTTGTTTATGAAGCAATGAAGTATGAATTCGTTTCCTAAAGGTAAATATTCATATTTGTCTATACACTTTTGTCCATTACTGTATGTACCATTGAATGTTGCCGCAGTGAATTGAAATATCCAAGAAAAATATCCACACAAACGACTATTTTACAAATACCATTAAAGAAAAACGCAAAGAGGTTTCATCAGCACTTTTATTAACCTTAATATACAAAAAGTCAAATGTTAAACAATTATCAGAAAAACATTCGCGCTTCCGGAAAAATTATTATTAGAGTTTCCTTCTACACCTTCTGTGTATATAATAACCTTTCCAGATACCAACCAAACCCTTGTAAAGACGGACGTATTGCGCAGAGCAGCTGGGGCGCAGGCCCCTTGGGGCACCCATGCGGCTTTCGCACGCCGCGCCAATTATCAACTATATATATTTTCAAAACCGTGAGTGAATACGCACAGTAAAAAAAAAAAAAATAATAATAGGGTGGGTCGAAGAGACGTAAAAATTAACTTTTAGGGGACAATAGTATAACGACACTTAAAAATGTTTATGTATGTATTTTGTGAGAATGGTACTGCGCGTGGGGAGCTAGTAGTACCGTTCGACGACTTGGCGCACAATATTCGCGGGGTCGGAGAGCGGAGAGCACGTAACGTAGCTAATACTCACACCAAATGGCTTATCGGGACGACTTCGGAACACACGCAGCAGTACTTTAGCGCGACCGCGGAGGTTCATCTAGATGAGATCGGCCACGTTCATCGGCATTTCCTCAATCTTCGTATTATAAAACTGTTCAATATCTTTGAGGGTGCGCCTATCTTCCTCTATCACAAAGTTTATCGCTACTCCCTTCCTACCGAAACGACCCCCTCGACCGATCCTGAAAATAAAGAAAAGCACGTAAATCATTACGATACAACAAAAACATACATTTCAGAACATTCGATGAATCAGATAGTAAGGTTAACATCACCGCTCTCAGCGATCTTGGTGGAAAATGTGTCATCATATAAATAAAACGAGCGTAGCCTCAGTTTGTTTGTTTCTTTGTGTAACAAAAAACAAAATTTGCATCTCTACGAATTTTCACTGTCCATGAAATATTCCTTTAATTTTCTTTCGAACATCATTAAATTACAAGTAAACTTTGTACATCATTATTGAGTTTATTAAATTAAAGTAATCCTTTCTGAAATATTAATTTGCTAGTTATATTACTATTGCAATTTTGTTAATGAAAATCTATATTTCCTCTTGTATAATAATTGTGGTAATGATTATTCAATTCTATGTAGTGTTCTAAATGTTGTGGCTAAAGATGATTTTTTATTTTAAATATAAAAATGAGAGCCAAATGATATGAAATTTTTTATATTCAACCACTTCTTGTAACATAGATTTTATTTTGGTGTACTTATTTTTATTCAATATTATTCTCATAGCTTTATTTTGCAGGACTTGTAATTTTGAGAAAACAGCTTCATTGGCAGTGAACAAGATAGTTGAACAATACAGTAAATGCGGTAGAATAATAGTATCATAAACTATTTTCTTGGAACATGTACCAAGACTATGAGAAGCCCTATAAAAGTAATTTGTTTTTTGGAATTATTCCAGCAAATATCGAAGAGTGTTACCCTCCAAAAAAATTGCAATTTGAAAAACCTGTTATTTTCCTCACTTCATTAATATTTTACAATAAATGTTTTAATTGTAGTTTATTCAATTTCATTGCAATAAAAATGATATGCTATGATTTATTTATATCAATAGAAGTCAAAGAACTAAAATTGGCAATACATTATCAAACATTTAAAACATTTCGGTAGGTGTGCCACAGGGTAGCAAATTAGGTACATTACTATTTATTTTATATATTAACGATATTCCTGATATTTTACAACACTGCAAAATATAACTGTTTGCTGATGATACAATAATATATCAAATAAAGACATTGAAACTGCAATAGAGCTGTTAGTTAAATGATACGAAAAACGTAATAAATTCGTTAAATGTAAATAAACTTTAAACACAAACAAAACAAAATATATGCTAATAGGAAAACCTTTAGATCAAAACACGATAAATCTCACAATTAATCATGAAAAAAATGGGTCAGTCGAATCATTTAAATATTTGGGCATATACGTAGATAGTAAATTAAAATTTGAAGGGCACTATGAATATATTATTTCACATAGCCTAAGTGTTTATTCTAAAAAAATTGTGTACAACACTATCATTCTTCCTCATTTGTTAATATTGTTCGACTATTTTGTTCACTGCAAATGAAACTGTATTTTCAAAATTACAAATACAGTGAAAGCTCTCCTTGCGGACAGCTCCTATAAGCGGACATCTCTTTTAACCGGACAAAGTTCCTGGAACCGAATTTCAGCCATCAATTTTCAATGTTAAATGCATTCCGATAAACGGACGCTCTTATAAACGGACGCGGACACTAGATTTTCCTGTATGTGATCAAAAAATCTCCCATAAGCGGACGCGAAACTCTAATACCCGGACGATTTTTTAGTTCCGCTTATTGCAATGCACATATCTACATACATAAAATTCGGTAATTCCCCGATTTATATTAGGTGATTCCCCATTTACGCATTTCGTTGGGTAGCTTGTATGTAATCTTGTGGCTTGTCTTCAGTTCAGGCAAATTCGTAGTTGATTGAGTTACGTATTTTATTATTGTAACTGTAAAATGGCACCAACAAAAAGGATGCTCTCGTTAAAGGAAAAGATGGAAGTTGTTAACGTATTAGACAGAGAAAGTGTTTCAGTTCGTCATTTGGCAAAGAGGTTTAATATTGGGAAAACGCAAGCAGCTGAAATTGCCAAAAATAAGGAAGATATCAGGAGTAAATGGCAATCAGGAACTAATATAAATCAAAAGAAGGATTTTTTAAAAAAGGAAGGTTTTGCTATAGACAAAACATGTTTTGAGTGGTTTGAGAAATCTAGAAGTCAGAACATTCCAATCTCAGGGCCGTTAGTGAAAATGAAAGCTAAAGAAATCGCCACTACTTTGGGCTATAATAATTTCAGTGCGTCCGACGGGTGGCTGCAAAAGTGGCGCAAGAGACATAGTGTGAGTTTCAAATGCATATCTGGCGAAGCTGCTGCAGTAGATCAAGTTGATGTGTCACAATTTTTGGAGAAACTTCCATCCATGTTGCTTGGCTACAAACCAGAAGATGTGTACAACGCAGATGAGAGTGGACTTTTTTTTTCGCGCATTGCCCGACAAAACTCTGTCCTTTAAAGGAGAAACATGTGTGGGTGGAAAGTTGTCTAAAGATAGACTAACCATTTTATTCTGTGCAAATATGGCCGGTGAAAAATGCGATTTGATTGTGATCGGGAAAGCGGCTCGTCCCCATGCTTTAAAAAACGTTGCTATTAAGGATCTACCAGCGACTTGGAAATCCAACAAAAAGGCATGGATGACCCGAGAAATCATGTCTGAGTGGTTAGTCGAATTCGACCGGAAAATGAGAATCCAAAAAAGGCAAGTTCTTTTATTTTTAGACAATGCATGCTCTCATCCTCGTGATATGAAAATGAAAAATGTGAAAATTATATTTTTACCGCCAAACACAACTTCTGTTTGTCAGCCCATGGATCAAGGTGTCATACAGAACTTTAAATTTTATTATCGGCACTTGATTTTAAAACATATTTTAACAAAAATTGACGATGGTCAAAGCTTATCTGAGCTTACAAAGTCTATCAATGTGTTAGAAGCTTTGTATTTTAGAAAAACAGCATGGAATAAAGTAAATTCCTCTACAATTAAAAACTGTTTTGGCAAAGCTGGATTCAGAAAAAGTGAATGTAGCTCAGAATTTGCTGAGCAAAATTATTGCGATGCTGAAGACGATCTGCCCTTAGCGACACTTGCTCAGTTACTGCGACATGCCAAACATTTAGGAGTAGCAGATCCCCTGAAAGTAGATGATTTCCTGGCCATAGACAATAACATAACAACAGAAGAAAATGCCATTGGCAACTTTTCGAATTTGGATGTAGAAAGCCCAGGCCAACTTGAATATGGTAGTCCAAACGACTCAGAAGAAGAAGTGGAACTGGTGGACTCACTAAGCGGTTCAAAAACGATAAATTCATATGGGGAAGCTCTAAATCATATTTCTATATTGAAAAAATTTGCTAAAGATGATTTCACTGCATTTCAACATTTGAAAAATTTAGAAAGTTATTACGAAAATTGTCTCCTTCAGCAAAAGATGGTGAAATTTCGTCAGACAAACATTTTAAACTTTTTTCAACAAGCTAAAGAATAATGTTTTTTTTAAATTCTCGTACCATGTATTGAAGCATTTATGTTTTTGTATGCGTATATGTACATATATTATATAGATATATAGCATAAATACATACTTAAAAATGTGGCGAGTTTCTGTTTCATTTTTCTCATGATTATAATACCTCATTTCCTCATGATTATATACCCCGTTATTTATACTCTATACTTACATACTCTCTTTTAAACGGACACCTCCCATAAGCGGACAAAAGTTACGGAACCGTGAGTGTCCGCTTATGGGAGCTTTCACTGTATTACAAAATAAAGCTATGAGAATAATCTTAAATAAAAATAAATATACTAGAATAAATTTTAAGCTGAAAGAACTACAATGGTTAAATATCAAAAATTCCATAGCCTACTTGGTTTTCATTTTCATATTCAAGTTAAAAAATCATCTTCTACCAAATCACTTAGAAAATTTTATTGTATTGAACAATGAGTGCCACAATTATTTTACTAGAGGAAGTATAGACTTTCATTTACAGTAGCAGTAGCAACATAACGTGCAAGTCAGTATTTTAAAAGGGATTGTACAAATTTAATAAATAAATAAGTTATGATATCAAGACGTATGTCAGTTTGAAAATGTTCAAAGGGAAATTGAAAAAATATCTCATAGAAAACCAGAATTCATAGTAGTGAAATTTTGTATAAAAATATGTAGTCTTGAAGACAATATATTTTGTGATATACTGTGCAAGTTTTTTTGCTTACATTTCAACATGTACATACCTACCTATTAAGAGATTGTCAATTAGATAATATGTATAATCGAGGAAATATGTAGGTAAAAATATTAACCCCCGGCAGGCATTCAGGGTGCAAAGTACCCAGAGCAAACTTTTCTTGTTTTCTAGTTCAGGTAAAATTCTCAAACGGACGGGCCTTTTCCCCCTCCCAAATTGTAGTTCTAACCTTCTAGAAACATACCCAACAGACACCTGACCCAAATCTAATGTATCATTCGTATTGTGAACATTTTGGTGGGAACTTTGTACCCTGAATGCTCTTTTAGTGCACATTTTTGTGAATTTCTGTAATTTTTATCTCATTTATTAAATCTAGAAACCCCCCTACCTTCTTATTCTGCGGTAATAAATATTTAAAAACACACGATGTAAGCTTTGCCATTATACATTAGACACTAAAACAACACTTATGTGCCCGTAATGTAAAAATCCAATATGTCATCGACACAGATGTCCACTTTGTGTACAATGTTGTATACATAAAGAATAAAAAAAATTGTTTATGACATTTTCATTTATTCGAAACAAACCTTGAAAATCTTTTATCAATAACGTGAAAAAAAAATACATGATAAAGATGTCCGTGAACGTAACCTAACATTCTCGGTGTACGAGTTCAATTCTGAAATTATATTTTTTGAAAACACTGGAAAACCACATACATCACGTTAAAGCATGCATCTCCAGCTTTAAAATCCTTTTTTAATTTTTTAGAATGCAATAGCTTCATAGATATGAGTAAAAAACCAAAATTGTTAAACGTGTTTTCTAACCTTTAGGTACAAATTTTAACGGTTCAATTTTTTTTCAAACTCTAAAGCCCATCTTTCTCAGAATTCTCTGAACTTTAATAAAAAAAACGCTCTAGCTCTCTTAGGCTGTGAGAAATGAGAGTTCAAAGTTCGATGGGTACTTTGTACCCTCAATGCCTCTAAAGGGACTGCAAAAACTGCCTGTCAGGGGTTAATAAAATAATTCATTTTTTCACTTTATGATTTCGCATTATGTGTAAAATAAAGTAATATTAAAAAAATATGTGCTACTTTATTCCTTCCGCTTGCAACAAGGTAATCCGATTAAAGAGGTTGCACTGTATTTCATTTTCGAAAATTTTCGCGATTATAATACTTAACATAATGCAAACTGCTTGTTCAACTTCGATGAATTTTGTACTGTTGAAAACGATGCATTAAGGGAACAAAGAATTTGAAAGGTTTCGTACACTTGTACCAAATTCAAACACGATTATCGAAATACCTAATCAAATGTGTACACATTTTATGTCTGATTTGAACCTGAAGCAATTTTCTTATTTGCAAATACACAAAAATTTACTATTATTAGATAATAGAAATGAAACCTCTCACTAACCTATGAATATAATTTTCTCTGTTCGATGGCAAATCGTAATTGATAACCAACGAGACCTGCTGCACATCAATGCCTCTGGCCAGCAAATCAGTGGTGATCAACACCCGACTGCTGCCCGTCCTGAACTGCCTCATGATGACGTCACGTTCGCGTTGCTCCATGTCGCCGTGCATCGCCGACACGGTGAAGTCGCGTTTGTGCATGTTCTCAGTCAGCCAGTCCACCTTGCGCCTCGTGTTGCAGAAGATCACGGCCTGCGTGATGGACAATGTGTCGTACAGATCGCACAACGTTTCTAATTTCCAATCTTCCCGCTCAACGAACACGTAGAATTGTTTTATACCTGCAAACAAGTCATTGAATATATTGAAGAAAATAAGATATTGAAAAAATTTCAAGCAGGATTCAGAAAAAAGTATTATACTGAAACAGCAATTCAAATGGTAGTAGAAGAATGGAGGCGAAGTATGGATGAAAAAAGTTTACAAGTTTGTTCTTAGATTTCAAGAGAGCATTTGAGACTATTGACAGGGATAAATTGTTAACGAAATTGCATTGCTACTATAAATTATTTAATCAATAGAAGTCAAAGAACTAAAATTGGCAATACATTATGAAACATTTCGGTAGGTGTGCCACAGGGTAGCAAATTAGGTCCATTACTATTTATTTTATATATTAATGATATCCCCTTACAACACTGCAAAATTCAACTATTTGCTGATGATATATGACGTATATATATCAAATAAAGACATTGAAACTGCAATAGAGCTGTTAAATAATGATATGAAAAACGTAAACAAACAAACTAAACACAAACAAAAAATATATACTAATAGGAAAATCTTTAGATCAAAATACTATAAATCTTACAATAATTAATTCATGAAAAATTTGTGTCAATCGAATCATTTAAATATTTGGCCATCTACATAGACAGTAAATTAAAATTTGAAGGGTACTATGAATATATTATTTCAAAAATATCCAAGAAAATAAATTACTTTGATTGAATTTAGCATAGCGTAAGCGTTTATTCTAAAAAATTGTGTACAACACTATGATTCTTCCTCATTTGTTATATTGTTCGACTATTTTGTTCACTGCAAATGAAACTGTAGTTTCAAAATTACAATTATTACAAAATAAAGCTATGAGAATCATCTTAAATAAAAATAAATATTCTAGAATAAATTTTATGCTGAAAGAACCACAATGGTTAAATATCAAAAATTTCATAGCTTACTTGGTTTTCATTTTCATATTCAAGTTAAAAAATCATCTTCTACCAAATCACAATCACAAAATTTTTTTTGTATTGAACAATGAGTGCCACAATTATTCTACTAGAGGAAGTATAGACTTTAATTTACAAAACTGCAGTAGTAATATAACGAGCAAGTCAGTATATTTCAAAGGGATTGTACGAATTTAATAAATTAAGTAATGATATCAAGATGTGTGTCAGTTTGAAAATGTTCAAAGGGAAATTGAGCATGGAAAACCAGAATTCATAGTGAAATTTTGTATAAAAATATGTAGTCTTGAAGACATAATATATTTTGTGATATACTGTGTAATATGGATATTATGGACATTGTAACATTAATGCTAAATAAATCTGAAACAAACAAACAAATGCGATTCATTGGTTATGATTGAGGATTACTCCTATACATTTATGCTTAAAGAAAGTAAGATTCTGCATGTTAGTCTTGTTTACAAACAAACTAAAAATTGTAACGAGGACGCATCGGTGCGTCTCATAAGAAACGATTGGGCAACACAGCGTAATTCTAATTTTTAATACCTTCCAACGTTAGTTCCTCTTTTTTAACCAATATCCTAATAGGATCCCTCATGAAACTCTTGGTGACATCCAGCACATCAGTGGGCATGGTGGCGGAGAGCAGAATGACCTGCACGTCCTTGTCCAACATTTTGAAGACATCGTGAATTTGATCTTTGAAGCCTCTGCTCAACATTTCATCAGCCTCATCCAACACAAACATTTTTATCTTATTAGTGCGTAGCGCGTTCCTTGTGATCATGTCGTAGACGCGGCCGGGCGTGCCTACCACCACATGGACGCCAGCTTCCAACTTGCGCATATCTTCCCTGAAAAATAAGACAGATACTGAAAACTTCTGAAATTTAATTATTTTTTTTTGCAAATTCATTGGTAAGCAACGATAACAAATGGTTAAAATCAATTACACTCAGCCACTGAGAGAATGCATTTAAAGGAGCATGCTTCCTCAGATGATATCACATTTTGGCAATTTATTGTACATCAACCAATATAGGATTTTCGGTATAACCGATAATGCCGATATATCAGTGTCGGTCCTTTCCGTGCATTGTCCAGGTATATTTTGATTCAGTAAACTGGTTGAACACGACATATTTATGAAAACACGATTTAAAAATCATTTACATCAGATCAAAACAGACACAGCTGCTCTATCCACAATTTCTCATATTCAGAAAGCTGGGCACTTGGACAATTAAGTCGAACAACCATTTTTATTTTAACATTGAGACCATAGGAATCTTTTTACATCAATTATGACAGTAGCTATAGATATTGTAAGTCCATCTATAGATCAGAGATCAACAACAAAGCACTTGTTCTCAGACCATGACCTCAGCTTGATCATACAAGATTCAAGAATTTCTCCAGATGGTCAAAGCCACATTTTCCATTTACTCTTTGCTCTATTTTGTGAAAAACAAGCAATACACGTCTGATAAATGTCGATTTACGGCTATGATTAGACAGTAATCGCATAATTTTCTTTTGAGAGATAAACACATGGATGCATGCACTGCTTTTGCCCTAGCTCAAAATAATGAGTGACACATGTGAGTAGACCAGAGCATAATACAGTTTTGTCAATGCAGTTCTTTAGCTAACTTAGTGCATAAAAGGCGATGTTTAACTTTTGCAAATGCGTCCCAAATATTTCACGAGTTTTAGAGAGCTTGCAATTGCATTCTTCTGCTTGTAAGGTAGGACTCCAACCATGTCAAAACATTGTAAGGGAATCTTAGAACATTTGGTTTGCCAATCAGAAATGTCCACCATAATGTATTTTGTTCAATTCAATGAGAAATTTACTTATTGATTTTGTAATTTGTATCAGTCAGCCCATATATGCAAATGAGCAGTCATGTTGGCCAATTCAGTAGAAAGAGAAATATCTAGAGGATTTAACTGATATATAAATAGTATGTTTTGGTGTGAAAGCAACAGTTAAAATGATTCAAAGTTGCAGAAGGCACATGTACTTACCTGACATTTGTCCCACCAATACAGGCATGGCACTGAGCATTCATAAAGTCACCTAGCGCTATCACCACCTTCTGAATCTGCTGGGCTAACTCTCTTGTAGGAGCTAAGATCAAGGCTTGACACTCTCGCAATGAGGTGTCAATCTGCTGAAGGATGGAGATGCTGAATGTAGCAGTCTTCCCAGTACCGGACTGAGCCTGGGCAATAACGTCAAGGCCTTGAAAAAAAAAAAAAAACTTTGTCCATCCCTTTCTAACTGAAAATGTGCACATATGAACATCTAAATGAGCAATATTTGGCTATATCTATGGCCGCTATAGACCATATTGCTACATATCTCTGCTATAACTTGGCAATAATGTCTTCAATCTGAAGACACACTTCAGAATTTATCAGAAGGGCTATAAAATCACTAAGCATGACTGACATTGTATGTGATATGTGCCACGGCAGGTAAAATTACTTATATTACATTTAGCAATCCGTCAGCAATATATTGTTTTGCACTGTATTGCAAAATTGATGTTTGATAGCAATCTAAAGGAAAACAGTATATCAGTCATGTGGTGAATCTGCTTGTGGTAAACCAGATAAAATTGTATTATTTGGTAAAGACTAAACCAATGTACTCAATATTTATTAATTTATTTATCAACGAGATCATGGAGATTAATATTTTTAAAAAGTTCTGGAGCTAAACTAAGAGAGTGCCAAATATTATAAAATAGTGACAGGTCCCTCAAATTCTGTCTTACCTGAAGGGCTGAGATATTGAGAGAGCTTTCAATGATGGAACAGATAATATCTTCAACCATAATGTTTTGTTTGAATGAAATGAATCTTAAGAATTTATGTTGCACTCTCTCAATTGCCTGAATATGAATATTATAGTTGGGTGACCAAACACAAGAACAATACTCCAAATGGGGCCTCACCAAAGAACAAAACATTTTAAATGATTGAATATTATCAAAATCCTTAGCACATTATAAAAACTTTTGTGAAAAATATAGTATGTGCATAATACCATCAAGTGCACCTAGGTTTTTCACCATGCCATCATATTAGCTGTTGCTATAAAAACTGATGTTTGATGCGGAGCCACACTAACTAAAAATATTGCACCATGTTGCTAGTATTCTATTGTGGCATAATGCAAACATGCAAAAAAATTGTCCATTTAAAAGTGCTATAAGGTGCACATCTCCTGTCACAAAATGGAAAATATTTAACCAATCTGGCACACCCAACAAATTAATTTAATCATTATTAATTCATTACTGTAGCTTCATAGAGTGAATACTATTTTATAAATGATTCGATTGATCAACTAAATTGTGTGCAAACTCCAAATCAAAACAAGCAAGATTTGGTCCCCTGTTTCGGTCTTTAATATTTTTGCTTCAATTCAATTAAACATTGTTATCAGTTTTTCAGTTATTATCATTCCAAATTTCTAGAGGCTGCCTATTATATATTATATTTATCAATATTTGATTTTGGTATTTGTTCATTTCCTGTTAATCAAGATTCAATGTTTTTGCACTGTTCAAAAATATATCATTGCTTTAAGTCTAAAACAAATAAAAGGAATTTCATTTTGAGTTATTAAATTGCACTTTTTTAAATATTGCATCATTAAAAAAATGTTTTTGTAGATTATAACACACAAGTGATAAATTGAGAATTGATGCAATAGAGAACTTTTAAGTTTCTACAGTTTCTAGTTATTTGGAACACAAATACAAAAAAACTTTTAGTATATTAGATATTTAATGTAATGTAATTTATTATCAGTATGTGATAAGCCACACATTAGTTTAACTTGAGTACAAAATCTATAAACAATTCAATCATCGGTAAGAGATTAGGTTTACCTCATCTATTTTTCCTGTATAGTATACCTTACATATACACCTAAGAAAAAGGCAATATTGAAGAGTGACATATCAAAAGATAATAAATAAGCTGCCAATAGTTAAAGACAGATAAATAAAATATATGAAATGATGACAAAAATTGAGCCACATTTCATGCTTTCATCCCAATAAGTATACAGAGAAAGAGTACATGAACTTGTACAAATGCTGATTTATGCCATATGGGAAAATAATAATTTATTTGTGTTTGTACACAAAAGTGCTTACACACATGGAAGAAGGTCTAAGCATTGCAACAAGAAAGAGCAATACAAAAAAATAATACATGCACTTTAAAAACAAACACAAAGTAATAAAACATATAGTCAATAATTATGGAACAAAGTCAGTAAAATCATTATTTAAAAACTCTTTTATGTCATAAAAAGCTTCACTAAATATCTCTTCACAGTTTGAAATTGTTTGATAATTCCTAGACAGAACATTAAACAATTATATAGATTTGGATAGTTTTGTGTATTCTGGTAATAATTCATTATTGAACCTTGCATTATATTTGTGGATCTGTGTCGACATGAATCATACATTCCAGTATAAAATGCATGGTACAGTTAAAATTTTTAGATCAATAAATGTCATCTTACAACATCTGAAATGTAAGTTTGCTATTATTCTCAAGCATCATCTCTAAACAGCAAACACCTTTATATATGAGATCAATATGCACTATTGTACGTTAGTCAATCAAAGTTAATTTTGCTATGTAGGTATTTAAACTATGGATCATAAAGTTATTTTAGATAGCCAAAACTTCTGAAAATTAATGAGGAGCATGAAAATGAAATTGAAGATGTAGTGAGACAAAGAAATTCAAATATTTGAAAAGATCTGCTGTACACTATGCAGTAATTCTGATGCCATTGCTATCCTTTGAAGTTTTTTTAGACACCAATATGAAAAATGCATCATTTCGAATCATCTTTTAGCATTCTTCTTGATCCGACAAAACCACAAGATCTATTAGCAGGTGATAAAAAAAACTATACAGAATAGACAAATTGAACTGACCTTGTATACAGGGCATAATTGCACGTTGCTGGATAGCCGAGGGCTTTTCAAAACCATAAGCGTAGATACCCCTGAGCAGTTCTTCTTTTAGGTTCATGTCATCAAAGTTATCAATAGTTTGTTCCCAGTTTGAAATAATGGTTCCTTCAGGGTCCATTCCTGCAGGTCCATTGTATTCTTGGGGCTCTTTCTCCTCGCTTTCTGGGCCATTCGTGTCCCATTCATCATTACTGTAAGAAAACGGCAGGTAGGTGTGAAATAACCTTCAAAACATATGCTATATTTGGACATTCATACATAAGTTTTCATAGCCTCTGGATCCAACATTATTGTTATACGCTGCTGGTTAAGGTTTAATGGCATGTAGAACGAATATAAGATCATTAGTTATATAAGTCAGCATGTATTTTCACGTGGAACTCCGTAAAATTCCCCAAATCTCGAACACGCCTAGCTAGCGTGCCGTAAACCAGATATGTGACTTTCAATATTTTCAAAGATCAGTACACTACATGTATTCGAAGTTTAACAAAAAATAATCCCAGTTATGAATATATTTTAATAAAATGCTCATGTATTAGGGAAGCGCCATGTTGGCAAAGACCCAGTCTTCACGCCGAAAGATATCAGAAATTAGGAAAGTACGCGAAGTCCATCCAAATGTATGTGTCGCACTCTAAAATACATATCAAGGTAACTTCTTGGGCACGTTAAAACTCAAAACATCCTTTATATGAGTATAAAAAACTCAACTTACGGTTTATTTTGCACCGACATGTCTAATCACTGGCGTTTTGCTAAACGGAAAGACCTCCAAATCTCGGACAGTCGGACGTTCGGAACTCAACTGTTGTATTCGTACGCAGTTGGTTCAGAATATCTTTTTTTGTAAAGATACGAATAACAGACCAAGTATTGTTGCTGCTTGTGGGTTCCAAAACTAGAGATTAGTTGGGAACGAAGTAGATTTCAGCGTCTTTCTGAATAATTATTTAGAAATGAGCTGTTCGGTGCCCGAACTATATTTTGAGGCGGTGAAACATGGCCACTCCTTTCTTTATTTCCGGCAAACGGGACTGTCACGTTGACCGCCAAAATTCGAAAAATGAATGAAATTTGACACTCGGAATTTTGACAAAACTGTCTTTTCCAAAAAAGCGTAACCGAACGTAACACCCAACTACTTGATGGAAATTTTCTTATGATAGTAATCAATAATGAATACATGGTGGGAACAATTAAATTCCTTTTCAGCATAATGGTGTAAATTAATATAGAGAAATAATAATCTCCAATACACAAGATACAATCTGTCTAAGCAATCAAGTTCGGTCAAAATTTATTTTTGTAATAGGATTTTCTGAGAATTTTAAAATGTTTCTTAATATCCCCGCCCCCTTCCCTACAGCATGTTTGATTAAAGCACGGCAGAAAGGCGCCGGCCCACACACGTTGCCAGATGAGCCAGGCGGAATTCAACCAGAACAAGCACAAAACAAAAATCCACCAGAATTTCAACTTTTTCAAAAAAGAGCATCTTTCTGTCGGCCAAGCGTGTGATTTATGGCTTTATGGCAGGGAGAAATTATTTGTAAAACCTGTACTTTATAGTTATTTATTTATATCTAGCTGATTTGTTTTTAGGGCGCTATGCGAGAGATATACACGAGTTTAGTAGGTATATAGTATCAAAAAAAATTCAGTTTTAAATCCAAAATTGACCTAACCTAGTCAACATCATTGGGGACTGGGGCATCACAGAGTAGCCGTTTAGCTTTCTCCCACCCAGAACATGTATGTGACACAAAAATACGGAATCAATCGGTTGGTTCAGATCACGTTTACATCAAAGGTATAGGGTATAGGTATGAGTCAGTGTACCCTTGGCAAAAAAAGAATCTGATCAGCTATAATGGGTGACGCACAAAAAGTCAGTCCCATGTCCATTATCTGCCGCTACATGGCTATACCCTATTTCACGAGTATTCATCACGCTTTGACGTCTTCTCAGGCGAACAGCTGATCAACAAGTGACTTTTATGTGTTAGTCTGCAATGTTGGGAAAAATGGATCGGGTATAGATTTAATAGTTAAACCTGTTTGTGACGCTTTGTTTTTTGTATGCAAATGAACTTTTCTAAATAAAAAGTTGTAAGTATAAAATGAATTTGTAGCGTACAAAAAACTAAAACAAAAATCGGCTCTGTCTACCTGGCGTTGACGGATCCGTGAGAAGTATGTTGTAATGATAAATACAATTTTCATTTGGTTATCCGCTTGAATTTGATTTTTGTGTCCTGTGGCGATATGGGAAATTTTGAGATACTTCTAGATAATCAGCTGTCATTCTACCATAATGGATACTCGTGAAATAGACAATACGAACTGTCGCTGTCAAAAATAATGTAAGGTTAGGTTTAATCAACGGGCTTCACGGTTGGTTATGTTTGTTGTACTAAAGACAAAAATCTGCCGAAAAGCCGGTTAATTTATAGTGAATGTAAATTTTTGTGGAAGATTTTTCCTTGTATTTATAGATGTTCACTCCCAAATTTAATCGAAAAGTGAAACATTACAACACAAAGGAATTTGCAAAAGAGCGGTATGATTTTTTGAAACAATTGATACATGAGTATACCACAACTGCTTCACATGGTAAGTACGTCGATGAATATAAATAGCATCTCACTAATTCGTGTCTTGTTTCAGAATGTAGGAAACAAACACTAGCGAACCTTGCAAACTTTGCATATGATCCAATAAATTATGAATTCATGAAACAATTACATTTGGTTGACCTTTTTATCTCTGAGCTTTCAAATGATAATTGTGATTTAGTTCATTTTGCTCTCTCTGGAATTTGTAACATATCATGTGGTAAGTAACCAGATAAGGAAAATACGAGTCATGTGGGAAGTAGTGGCCATGTTCACACAATAGGTTTTATAAAAAAACATAAATAATTTTTTTTGTTGTCAACATTTTGATTGACAGAGAACCAGAGAATCTTACAAACTCCATACCTCATTTTATTAATATATTGTATTTATTTACTTGGGATGATTGTGGAACACATCTCACTAGTATTTCCATAATATTCATGTGGAAGGTAGGAAAATGCATGGAAAATAATTCTATGTTTTACCTGATGATTTTTCATTTACCCTCACATGAGAACAATAGTTTCTGCACCTATCAGTAGAGCATAAAGCAATCTCCCAACCCACAATAACTAAATTAGCTTTCAAGTACTGAAACTTTTTTCTTTGGAGTCAGTTGGTGGACACACATATTTATAAAGGAGGTAAATTCAATTAGGTACCAAGAAATGAAATAAACAATTACTATTTATGTAGAATTTCATGGGAAGTTAAACTTTTGAGCCACTTATCCTGACAACTCAATTAATAAATGGAAGATAAAACAGTTGTAGTTCAGATCAAAATTTAGCTTCCCTGAAAATGTCCATAAAACCAAATCTGATTTATCCTTATTGGCTTGGCCTCAAATTTAGTCTACCTCTACCAAGTTTTGCAAATCTTTTGTCTGATCCCGAAAGCTTTATGAAGAAATACGTGAATGAATGACTGAATCGTGAAATTAGAGGCATTCCAGCAACCATAAGGAGCCAGTGCATAGACTGCTTAAACGGACCCGTATGCACCTCTACATTCCTTAGACCTCAAGCCTCGTCTTCCTAGCGAAGTTGAGTATGGCCTTGTCCAAGCTCCTTGATGTCCCAAAGTAATGAACCCTAGTATAGTGCGCCTATAGTAGCTCAGAGCTTCACAGCAACACAGAACGTGCGCCGAGATCTGCTCCCTCCCATTATGTGCAGGTGGCGCCAGGCAACAGTCTCACCAGCAATCTTAGGTTGCCTCTATCCAGAGATAAGCTGAAACATCCATCCTTAGCACTAGGCCTTGCAATGAGTTTCCATGCCTGACGGAGATGTCTGGAGATATTTCTCCATTTTTGAGTGTTATCTTGCAATCCACATCCCCATTTTCGTCCTAACTCCTTGCGCGGGCACTCCTAAAGCTGGCTCAGGACCAGCGAGCTTGCTGGCTGAAGCTGTCTTCGCCAGAGCATCCGCCGTTTCATTGCCCTTATCCCAGCGTGTCCCGGAACCCCTGCGTTGCAATACAAGGCTTGAAGTAATCTTAAGGCACCTAGTGCCTTCATTGCAGCGTGGCTGTCGGATAAGATTGTTATAAGAAATACTTAATATTGTCTTAAACTTTGTGATGATTTAGCTTTTTTGTGCAAAAGCCAATCATCACACTTCCACATATTCATTCCTTGTTGCTCATTTAAGTTACTACACTGCTCCAGCTTTTAATGTCAGTGTCGAGTTCATTCATTTAGGCTTTGAGCTTACACTGTAATCATAATGAACTAAAGCTCTGTTGTTCCCTGAGTGCACCTATGTTTATTATATGATTAAATGTGCACCAAGAATAACTCATTAATTTTTTGTTTAGATCCAGAAAGCAGAGAGTACATCATCTGCATGAATGGTGTAAATCGCATTTCTGAACTTCTGCTCCATAAACACGAAGACATTGCTCTAAATGCTTTGACAACACTGTACTATCTCTTTGAATCAAAGAATGTAACAATACCACAAGACATTAAAAGAAAAGTTCAGCAGTATGCAATGAGCTGTAATCCTCGTTATAAGAACCTCGGTTCAATTTTTTTGGATACCTATCGCCTTTTAGAACAATGAACATGGTCGGAATTTCACAAAGAGCTTTTTCAAGGTAAGTATAAAGGTTAATATATGACATTTGACAAAACTTCAGTAAAAGTGGTGTAGTTTCTTATTGGTGAGTTCAGTTAAACCAGCTGAATGTTCAGACATAGTTATCAAACCAAACTCACTTTGGTTACCCCAATCGTCCAATACACTCAAATGTTTCAGAGTAGTGTTTTTTTTTTATATAAATCTTATTGAAACCTCATTTACTACACATTAAAGAAAACAGCATTTGATCACAGCTTCTGTCCTCTTGTTGTTGTTTGCCTATTCGCACTTTTAATGGTTGGTTTCACATAAATGTTGAGTGTTGGTGTACACATTTAATGTCAAGAAAACAACTTTTTGTACATTTGATATCCCAGTAAATAGATAGATACAATTTGCCAAACATGCGCACTTATTGATACATTGTTTTATTTTCTCAAATACCCATATTTCAAATTTGTCAGTATTGCCTTTTGGGTATTTTCAAATGAGGAGGAATTATATTCTTTTAAGTATTGACCCGTAACTCATTCTGAAGTTCTTTAGATGAGTAATTATCTATAGCACATTGCAAAAATATTTAATTTGTGAATAAACCTTTTGTCAGTCCAAACTTGATCTGGATGATATGAAATAGAATTGAATCAGTCATTAAAAAACACTTAATTTCATAATACCATGTAATACACGTTCAACGGGTCATTTTAAACATCCTTTGCTTGCTTAACTTTCATATTTGTATGCCATATGAGATAAAATAATAAGACTTTCCTCACTTAAATTCATAGCACCCCTGGAATGAGGTCTTAGGAGTGTCCCAGCCAAGCAATTTATGCTCTTTTCATTGACAGTTTTGGTTCGCTAAAACCGGACTGTATTGCATTTAAAGCAACATAAACAATTGCTGAATTTGACAGATTCTGTCATTTTTTGCCTTCCATAACAAATGATACAAAAATCTATACTAAGTGACATATAAATCCGAACACCCAGTTTAAATGGTTTTATTTTAATAAAAGTTGGTGAATGTATTTATCTTACTGTAAATAACAAGTGAAAAAATTTTCAGCCTTATCAGTTGGACATTCCGGTTTTTATACTGCTTTTTTTTAATTCACTAACGCTCTAAAAATGAATATTTCAGCCGCATTAAAGAATCAACGTTGGCGGATTTTCGTTCTTGACATCCTTTACGATCGGTTACGATGCCTAGAGTACGGAGACCTGTACGATTTCGTCAACTTAGTGAGTTTGATAGGGGCCGTATAGTGGGACTTCGGGAAGCTGGACTTTCTTTTCGGGCAATTGCAGTTAGAGTGCAAAGAAGTGTAGACACTTGGGTTAGGTGTTGTCAGGCATGGCTTCGAGAAGGCCGTACGCAAAGAGCAAGGGGCACTGGACGCCGCCGTAGAACAACAGACCGTGAAGATCGCCGCCTAAGATTATTGGCCTTAAGGGACCGTTTCTCCACTACCAGGTCCATTGCAAATGAATGGTTTGCAGAACACGGAAGACCTATTGGCATGCGAAGTGTTTACCGACGAATGAGAAGTTTTGGCTTGTTTTCATACCGGCCACACTGGCTCCTCCCTTTAACTCGAGAACACCGACGTAATCGCCTTGAGTGGTGCAGACAACGGTCACTCTGGGATCAGGAATGGAACAGTATTGTCTTTAGTGACGAGTCTCGATTTTGTTTAGGCATGCACGATGGTCGTGCCAGGGTTACAAGGCGACGTGGTGAAAGGAGGAATCCACAGTTTTTTGTTGAAAGACATGTTCATCACACTGTTGGAGTTATGGTTTGGGGTGCTATAGCTTATGGTTCCAGGTCACCTTTAATCTTCATCAGAGGTAACATGTACGCGCAGCGTTATATCCACGAAGTTCTAGAACCCCATCTTTTACCCTATCTTGACACCCTGGCAGATCCAACTTTCCAACAAGATAATGCCCGACCACATTTTGCAAGAGTCACAATAGACTTCTACCAACATAATGATGTCACATTGTTACCATGGCCACCAAGATCTCCCGACTTATCCCCAATTGAAGCACGTGTGGGATATGATGGGTATGAGATTGCTCAATTTGCAACGTCCTCCTCAGACTCTAGAAGCACTTCGAGAGGAGTTGGTGGTTGCCTGGAATGAGATACCACAGGAGGACATTGACCACCTGATCAGAAGCATGCCTAGGCGCGTTGGAGAATGCGTAGCACATCAGGGTGCATCCACACATTATTAATGGTCAAAGGGCTTTAAAGCAGTGCAATCATTTTGAAATTTTTATCATTTACTTATTATGCTTCATTAAGTACTTATACAAAATTTTATTAAAATAAAACCATTTAAACTGGGTGTTCGGATTTATATGTCACTTAGTATAGTTTTGTTTTAAATGCTGGTAATTGTGACATGAAAGAGCATTGATGTAAAGTAGCAAGGGAGTCAGAAGTGGAATGTGGGGATCAACCCATTAATGATTTTATACCAGAGTCTCTATCAAGATTATCTATATATTATTATTTTAGGCTTAAGGTTGGACAAGTAGTCTCTATATCAAGAAAAATAACTCAAAACGATATAGACACTTTCACGAAACTCAGTGGTGATACAAATCCAATCCACTCGAGTGGCGGAAAGGAAACAGCTTTAGTTCACGGTGCCTTTTTGAACGCTTTGGTGTCTGCAGTTATTGGAACAAAATTGCCTGGTCCCGGAACCATAGTTGTACAACAGACTTTGAACTTTCCCAACAAGTGCTATGCAGATGAAAGTGTAACAGTCAAGGTGAAATTGGCTGATCTCAGGAAAATCATAACAGTGGATTTTAGTTGTGAAGTCGAAGAACAGAACAAGGTCGTGTTGCATGGACAGGCCAAACTAATACATAAGTGATGTGATATGTATGTTTCATATAAATTGTGAATAGTTTGTATTCAAAGTCGAATATTTGTTGATACTTGCTAATAAAGCTGATATACATGTAATTAGGAAGTTGAAATATAAGGAAGTCACGACATTTTCTGTATTAAGGTGCTGTAGCCGCGTCGAGGTTCGGTTGTGACGTCACCTGACATAGTCTGAGGTTTGTCTGGAAAATACGTATAAAAAATTCGGGGCGTTGTGGAGGGGTGGCCCAGTGGTTCCTCTCTCTATGCATTCCCCTCTATGCTCAGTTTGAGCCGGAGCGCTCTGCGAGTAACTAGGGTTTACAGTATCGGACAAAAGTAAAGCGACGCTATAATATCCTTGAAAAACTTTTTCACTGTACCTCGTATGATGACGAGCAATTTTGTAGTATCAGTACATACCTTGGTTTATCGTATTTAAATATTCTTTGCCTCTTGTGATAACATCGAGAGATAAAGAAATACCTTATATGTTTTTATGCATTTTTTCATGGACAAAAATAGAGCGACTTTACCGATATTGTTCATACCATTAGTACATAAACATCGGTTGTGGTCGGTATCAAATGTTATTTTGTGTATAAAATGCCTCGCGGTAAAAGTTTTTCTGTTGATCTTAAAGAAAGAATTATTGCATCATATAAGATGGGAATACCACAATATAAAATAAAACAAGAACTGAGGGTTTCAAAATCTGTGGTGTCGAGGACAATTCAGAATTATCGAATTAGGGGTACAGTAGTCAACCTAAAACAGACGGGAAGACCGAGAAAAACTACAAAGAAACTTGATAGGAGAATTAAGAGGATCTCTCAGGCAAATCCTTTTTTGTCAGCAAAACAAATTCTGGCTGAAGCTGGGGACTCTAATGTTTCTTCTCGGACTATACAGCGCAGACTAGTTGAAGCAGGCTTAACGGCATGCAAACCTGCAAAAAACCGCTTCTTAGTAAGAAGAATATTAAAGCACGTCGTCTGTTTGTAGCCCAACATGCTCATTGGACACCAGAGCAATGGAAGAAAGTACTGTTTAGTGATGAGTCAAAGTTTGATTTGCACAAAAGTGATGGAGTTCAATATGTTTGGCGTATTGCAGGTAAAAGACTCGACCCAAAGTATGTCCAAGGTACTATAAAACATGGAGGTGGAAACGTGTTAGTGTGGGGTTGTTTCTCTGGCTATGAAATGGGACCAATTTATCACATTGAGGGCATTATGGATAGGTTTAAGTATAAATATATCCTTGAAAATATCATGCTGCCTTATGCAGAATGGAATATGCCACTACGATTTGTTTTCCAACACGACAATGACCCAAAACATACAGCAAAATGTATAAAAGAATGGTTCAATGAAAATAGAATCACCATTCATAAATGGCCAGCCCAATCACCCAATCTTAATCCGATCGAAAACCTGTGGGAAATTCTAGATAGGCAACTTAGAACCAAATCCTATAAAAATAAACAGCAAATTTTTGAAGAAATTGAAAATATCTGGAAAACTATTGATCAAAACATAATTGATAATTTAATTTCTTCCATGCCTCAAAGGTGCCGCCAGGTTCTCGCAAATAAAGGACTGTGGACTAAATATTTGGAAGGCAACATGATAATGTATTTGTTTTTTGAATATTCTGTTTTGTATTATTTTTGTTGTATGCGTCGCTTAACTTTTGTCGTTTAAGAATGTTTGATTTTTCTTTTTCATTTAAGAATCTTGTCAGTATGGGAGAAGTTTGGTATAGAATGTAATAAATGTATTTGTGTCAATGAATGTATTTTTTTTAATTCCTCTTGCGTTATTGCGTTTTCAATAGAAGAAAAAAAATATATCGTCGCTCTATTTTTGTCCGATACTTTACGTGTGCTTGAAAGTAACCCTTTTTTCAAAGGTAGGCAAGAATGGTCGTGGGATTTTTGAGTGTTTGGAATAAGTTTATGGAGACGATTCTCTGAAGGAACCAACTGTCAACAAGTGGTTGAAAAGATTTCGGGAAGGCCGAGGAGGGTTGCTTGCTGTGAGGATTGGTTGGAAGCAGAGGAAAATGGGGACTTTCTCAACTGGGTCATCACTGGAGACGAGTCTTGGTTCTACGAATTCGATGTGGAGCTGAAACCTCGAAGCATGGCGTGGAAACGAGCAGGGGAACCGAGAAAAAAAAGTCGAGGTCCAATGTGAAAACAATGTTGATTGATTTATTTGATTCTCGGGGCATTGTATTCGCCAGGAATTTGTCCCTCCCGGCCAGACAGGGAACGGAAATTTCTATACTGAAGATTTGCGTCGTCTCGGAGCTCGAGCCCGAGTCCGACCGGATTTGGCACAAGGGGACAGGTGGATCCTTCATCACGTCAATGCGCCCGCTCACACGTCTCTCATCATGCGCGAGTTTTTGGCCCGACGCTCAATCACGTGACAGAACACCCACCTTATTCACCCGAGTTATCCACTTGCGACATCTTCCTGTTCCCAAAATGCAAAATGGTGCTTCGGGGACGGCACTTGGACGATGTGGAAGCCATCAAGGCAGAAACGACACGGTCAAAGAGCCTGACAATTGAAGACTTTTAGCGATCGTATCAATAGTGGAAATGGCGTTGGCAGAAGTGCATCTCGTCTCAGAGGGAGTACTTTGAAGGAGACCATATTGAAATATCTAGATCTAGACAATTGTAAAATAGTTATTCCACTTTTATACGTATTTTCCGGACAAACCTTTTAAAGGATGTTTTAATAAGGACGCAATATTTCAAGGTTCTATTAAACATGGTATTTCGTAACAAACAACTGAAATATTTATTGGAATTATGTACGAAACATAACGTCAGGTAAATGGCTGCCTCGGCTCTGCTGTCACATGCGCACTCGTTTAATAAAATTTGTGGTAACATTTTTGAACACACGTCGTGGTATCTCGTTGATGCAGCGTCTGATTTCAGCTTTCAATGCTTCGGTGGTTGCGGGCTTGTCGGCATAAGCTTGTACCTTCAGACACCCCCAAAGCCAAAAGTCCAAAGGTGTTAAATCGCAAGAGCGTTGCGGCCAATTCTGGTCACCAAACCGGGAGATGACTCGACCAGGAAAAACAGTCCAATAATTCCTCCAGACCATAGTACACACCAAACACTAACGCGTTTTGGATGCCTAGCTTTCTCATAAATTACTCTTGGATTCTCTGTGCCCCAAAGCGGCAGTTTTGTCTATTGACGAAGCCATCGAGATGAACATGGGCCTCATCGCTAAAAATGATTTTGTCTACAAAATCACCATTCACATACTGTTGACCCGGGCTCCAATTGCTAAACTCTCTTCGCTGTGCATGGTCTGTTGGCATAAACTGTTGAGTCAATTGGCCTTTGTAGGCAAGCAGGTGTAAATCTTTCGTTAGAATACTATGGAGAGTGGCTATTTTAATGACCAATTCCTGAGCGCGATAGACTCTTGGCTACATTTTCGCGAACTGCTCTGACATTTTATTCTGAACGACCGCTGCGAGCTCGTCTCGTATGTTTCACATCATTAAAAGAACCAGTACTTTCAAATTTTTTTATTATTCTTTTCACGTTGGGTGGGGTAGGAACATTATTCCGACCGAATATTGGCTGCACTTTCGAATCGTGGCAATTAAACTTTCACCACTTTGGTAATAATTTTTAACAATTAGGGTACGCTGTTCTGTTGTGTACTGATTCATTTTAAAAACTGGCGCTAGATTCAATTATTGCGTTCTTATTGATACATCCTTTATATCGCATTCATCATTAGCGCCCAAGCTGACCAGTCGCAGTGTATTGTTTGTATCTTGGCATAGACTGTGCGATATTAGAGATACACAATAAATAAAAGGAATATTTTCTGTAAACGGATGCCAGTAATATTACAATGGTGGGCATAATAATGGTTAAATATACTATGCGAAACATTTATACTTTGGCATGCATTAACATTTACGATCGACCCCAAAGTGGTTCAAAAGTCCTAAAATATTGCCAAAATTGGAAAGATTCATAGGATATCCTACGTTTTCCAGGTCGCTGATAACGAATATGGCATCCATATGTGTAGGATGACAACTGCTGATTCAATATGATGGTGCACCCGCTAATCACGAACTTGATATCGATTGTTCAAAAATCGAAAATAGCTGTTCTAATATGGCGGCTATGTTTGCAAAAAATGTTATGATTGCGCTCAAAGTCAAGTTTCTAATATTTTTAAGATCATTAATAAAGAATTAAGTATCGATTGTCGATTTTTGTACGTTTTCAATGTAAATATATGTATTATTGTATAGTGTCCCATAATGGCCCAACTTGCGGTCAGCTGCAGTTACAATTGACATATTAACTGGGTTTCTAATAAACATGCTACTATTCGAAATAAAGCAGACTCTAATAGGGTTTTGATAAGCTCTTTTTAAATTCGCTAATGACGGAAAAAATATAAATTACATATTGTTGTACAGTGTCATTTGTCAATTGACAAATAATACAATGCCATACCTGTATATCATAATAACTACACACTTTCAACTTCGCAATCAATTTTAACACATCACAATACATTTAATTATTTTATAACGTGACACTATTTGATTATACATTTTTTGCACTTTTGATCAGATTTTTTGTTCCTGAACTACACCTTTGCATGCCCACGTCGAAAAAGGTATGCTTCAGAGTATTCGCTCTTTAGGTACAAAATTCATATTATCTCGAAATAAAAGCAGTAATCAAATCTATCTCCGTACTCGATTACACTAATTAGATTATTTATCCATCATACTAGGCACATACCCTTATATTTATTTTGATAATTTTTACCATATTTACTAAATCATACTAATATCAAAATTATACAGGGTGGCCCAAATCCTTTGAGCTGGAAAAAAAGGAATAAAACCAAACTAGTTACATTATGAAGAATTATTATATTTTGTTATCATCTTTATTGAATGGGAATTATGTTTTAAAAATCACATCGTCTAAATGCAATCCATTACGATCACGGCACTCATATAAACGACGTCTAAAATTGTCGATGACTGCGCGGCAAGTCAACACTGTAATGCTTGCCATTTCTCTTCGGATATTTTCTTTCAGGACATCAACTGATCGCGGAGTGGTGTCGTACACTTTACTCTTGAGGTAGCCCCATAAAAAGAAGTCCATTGGGGTCAAATCTGGACTACGTGGTGGCCAGGAAATGTCTCCTCTTCGAGAAATTACTTTGCTGGGAAAAAGTTGACAGACGACGGGCATAGAAGTGTTGGAGGTGTGGGCAGTTGCTCCGTCCTGTTGAAACCAGGTCTGCGTATTATAGCCTGGAAAATTCTGCAACG